CCAGTTCAAGACCCATTTGCTCCACTTCTGATCCAACTCCCTGCTACTGTGCCTCAGAAGAGAGCAGAAGATGATCCAAGTACTTGGGTCCCTGACCCCGTGTGGGAGACTCAGAAGAAGCTTCTGGCTCCTGGCTTCGGCCTGGCCCATCCCTGGCTGTTGCAGCCATTTGGGGAGTGAATCAGTGGATGAAAGATTCTCTCTTTGTCTCTACCTCTCTCTCTCTCTCTCTCTGCCTTTCAAATATATAAATATTAAAAAAAAAAAAGTAAGATACAGACAAGGAAAGAGAGAAAAATGGCATGATCCCTCTTTTGTACTGGAATTGGAAGTATCAGTATGAACTCATAGAATTTAATATGTATAAAGATAGACACAGAAATATAATGTGTGTGTATGTGTGGGTTACTTTAAATACTTACACTTTTCTATCTGCTGAGAGGACCCAGAAACAATGACAACCCAGTGGCAGTGAGCACATCTAGCACCTAAATCTTGGTTTCTAAAGACCATTCTCCGATAAAAGGAGCCAATTTCCATGTTGAAATGGTTGATCCCAGGGTTAGGGAAGGGAAAATAGAAGACAGGCCTGCAATATACAGTGATGCAAAAAAGAAGAAGTGCTCAAAAAAGTTGGAAGCATGTTAAAATCACAAAAGGGTCGACCTGAAAGATTTCCTAGTGGTAAAAGTTGGAACAATTTGAATAACAAAGTAAACAACAGTAATATTATATTATAATCCATAGAATAAAATAAATACTGAGCCCAAACTGAATAAAATGATTGGTTACTTAAATAAATGGGAGACAAGAGACAGTTCTTCCTTCTAGAAAATTTTCAATTAATAAAAATGAAACAATTAAGGAAAAGACAAAATCACCATTAGACAAATGCCACATTAATAATTGTTGCAGGGGGTGACATCTAGCAGAGTGGTTAAGATGTGTCTTGAGATGTCTGCAACCCATATCAGAGTGCCTGGATTCAAGTTTTGACTCTGCTTCTGATTCTGGCTTCCTGTTAATGTGCACACTGAGAGACACCAATAATGGCTCAAATACTTAGATTGCTGCCACCCATGTAGGAGATCCAGACTGAGTTTCTGTCTTGGCTTTGGATTGCCTCAGCCCCAGTTATTGTGGGCATGTGGGGAGTGAACTGGAGGATGGATGATCTCTATCTGTCTGGCTGCCTTTCAAATAAATTATTTTTTTAAAAAAGCTATAGGCAAGATCTACCAATAGATGCTAATATTAATAGGTGAAAGCTTAAGGAGAAACAGGATATTTGCAAAGTTTCACAATAACTCCTGTTAGACATCTATTAATTATGAAGGGAAAACTAGTAACTTTACATTGAAAAAACCCAGCAGATACAACCTTAACCAAATGATCAAGGTTATTGTAAACAATTATATACTCCCTGATATGTTATATACTGTCCTGGAGCAAAAAAAGGACATTGGTAGGAAAACAGGATAACCTAATAGGGTCCATAGTTCAGGTAGTGGTATTTAATGATACTGTACCAATGTGGCCATAATGGCTATAGCTGGGCCAGGAACCAGGAGCTTCTTCTGGGTCTCCCACATGGGTGCAAAGGCCCAAGCACTTGGGCCATCTTCCACTGCTTTCACAGGTGCATTAGTAGGTAGCCGGATCAGAATTGGAGCAGTCAGGGCTCGAACCAACGTCCACATGGGATGCCAGCACTCCAGGAAGAAGCTAAACCTACTATACCACAGTGCCAGCCCCCACCAATGTTAATTTTCTAATCTATCCAATCCCTCCCCACTACCTCTACCCTTCACCCAATACTTTCTGTTTTATTTGAGAGGCAGAGAAAAACACAGAAAGAGAGCTCCCATCTATTGGTTCACTCCCCAATGGAGCCAGGACCCAAAGCTGGGAGCTGGCAACCAGGAGAGAGGAACTAAACTCAAGTCTTCCATGTGGTGGCAGGAATCCAATAATTTGGACCATTACTACTCCCTCCCAAGGTCCGCATTAACAGGAAGCTGGAATCAGGAGCTGGAGCCACACATGGAACGAAGGTAGTCTGATGTTGGACACAGATATTTTAATTAGCATATTTACTGCTAAGTTAAATGCCCACTTGGTTCTTTTTTTTTCTTTTTTAAATTATTTTTATGTACTTTGAAAGACAGAGTTACAGAGAGAGATGGAAAGACAGAGAGAAAGAGATCATTGATCCACTGGTTCACTCTCCAATGGCCACAATGGCCAGGCCTGTGCCAGGCTGAAGCCAAGAGCCCAGAGATTCTTACAGATCTCCCAGTTGGATGCAGGGGTCCAAGCACATAGGCCATCTTCTGCTGCTTTCTCAGGTGCATTGGCAGGGAGCTGGATCAGAAGTGGAGCAGTCAGGTCTTGAAAGACTGATACCCACATGGGATGCTGGTGCTGCATTATGTCAAAACACTGTTCCAATTGGTCCTTTTAAAATCAAGTAATCTGTTTTAGATGGGCCACTAATCTAAAATTCTAATCTATTCTAAAATTATGTATATATGTCTAACATTCATATCTAGCAGTTCCATATAAAATACATGATTTCTTTATGTACAGTGTACTTCCAAAACAATTTTTAAATTCATTTTTTAGGGAACAAATGTCATTCCTCCCATAGATTAAGTAACATACCATGGCATTTTATCCTTATGCTTTCTTAAGATGGTTCCGCAAATACTTATTTCTCTTCCTATTTTCTTTTAGAAATCTGAACTTTTTTTTATAGGAGGGCACACTAATTCTTTATGTCTCATGAAGGTTGTAGAATCCAAGAGCCTCATCAAATATCTCTCAAAATATTAATCCCATGGTTCAGCATTGTGGTATGGTGGGAAAAGCTGCCATCTGTAATGCTGGCATCTCAAATGGGTACCAGTTTGTGTCCCAGATGCTGTACTTCCCATCCAGCTCCCTGCTAATGTGCCTGGGAAATCAGAGGAAGTTGGCTCAGGTGTTTGGGCCCCTGCTGCCCACATGGAAGACCAAGACGAAGTTCTTGGCTCCTGACTTTGACCTGGCACAGCCATGGCCATTGCAGCCATGTGGGGAGTGAACCAGCAGATGGAAAATCTTTCTCACTGTCTTTCCCTCTCTCTCTGTAACTGTGACTTTCAAAATAAATGAATAAATCTTAAAAAAAAAAAAAACAAAAAAACAGATTAATCCCAACTCCTAACATTTCCTTTTACCACACTTTCTTCTCTATCCCTGAGGTCAAATTCTGACCAGTCTTTTATTTAATACCTGAATAATTATTGACTGTCTGCCTTTCAGTTCGAAATGCAGTCCAAATATATTTGTCTAGTTATAATTTTTTTTTTATTTTTTAAATTGCTTTGACTATTTTACTTTTCTTCCTCATATATTAGTTATCCTTATCACATGCAACTTTCTGTTATTGATTTCTAGGGCCTTTATAAGTCAATCCTGGGCCGGCGCTGCGGCTCAATAGGCTAATCCTCCACCTAGCGGCGCTGGCACACCGGGTTCTAGTCCCGGTCGGGGCGCTGGATTCTGTCCCAGTTGTTCCTCTTCCAGGCCAGCTCTCTGCTGTGGCCCGGGAGTGCAGTGGAGGATGGCCCAAGTCCTTGGGCCCTGCACCCGCATGGGAGACCAGTATAAGTACCTGGCTCCTGCCATCGGATCAGCGCGGTGCGCTGGCCACGGCGGCCATTGTAGGGTGAACCAATGGCAAAGGAGGACCTTTCTCTCTGTCTCTCTCTCTCACTGTCTACTCTGCCTGTCAAAAAAAAAAAAAAAAAAAAAAGTCAATCCCTAGATTAATATAAAGCTGGCTAAGTATCTTCCTAACATTATATTTTCTCTTGTTAAATCTACTCATTCATGTATTCATTCTTATAACTTTTTAACTAAATTTCAGCAAAGCCTAAGGATGTTGTAAAAGATATAAAATATCAAATTAATATTTTCTCATCCAACTTTCTCATTTATAAATCTGTCAAGTATTTTCTTACATGTTAAATGCTATAAGCTCCAAATTCATACTTCTAGCAGTCCTACCTCATTGAAAAAAATGACTTAAATAACTTGAGGAAGATACTTGTTTATCAATAAAAAAATCTGCCAGTTATTTTTACTAAAATAGAAAGTAAAAGGAAGAAAAAAAAGAGTAAGATAAAATATAGACCAATAAAAAAAGAAGTAGGGACATAAGTGTATCATTGCTTTAGGATCTGAGCTACTAAAGGCAAGTAATAGGTTCCTGTATTTTCTGAGTAGTCCAGAACACAACAGTCCTTAAGACTCAAAGTGGAAGCTAAGCTGCCTTAGTAGTTAAATGCTATTCTGAAAAGGGTAGTTTAAGAAGTCCTAAATTTATCCCCCAATCTCCCAAGAACCCACCAAAGTATATCAAGAATGGTCCCAGAACAGGGGACTGTTACTTGGTCCTCTGCACCAAGGCAACTAGGCTACACAAAACAAATGGTGTATGTGATTTTGGTTTTATTTTATTTTTTAAATATCTGAGCAACATGTTCAGATTTTTTTTTTTTTTTTTGACAGGCAGAGTCAGTGAGAGAGAGAGAAACAGAGACAAAGGTCTTCCTTTTCCATTGGTTCACCCCCAAAATGGTCTTTACGGCTGGCGCGCTGCGCCAATCTGAAGCCAGAAGCCAGGTGCCTCCTCCTGGTCTCTCACACGGGTGCAGGGCCCAAGCACTTGGGCCATCCTCCACTGCACTCCCTGGCCACAGCAGAGAGCTGGACTGGAAGAGGAGCAACCCGGACAGAATCCGGCACCCCAACCAGGACTAGAACCCGGGGTGCTGGCGCCGCAGGCAGAGGATTAGCCTAGTGAGCCGTGGCACCGGCCCTGGTGTGTGTGATTTTGACATTGGTAATGTGGCTCAGTGGAGTGTGGTATTTATGTCATCCCATATCTGATGGAACTCCTGGTCATTTACCATACTACAGAATGCCAAGTAAGGAGATATTACAACTCCTACCTGGTGATTTTCCTTGAAAGTCTGGATTAATAATTTCTTCAGTTTCATTTTTCTTTCTCTTGCCATTTTTCCTTCATCTAGAGGAATGTGTGCACTCTGAAATGTGCCTTTTTCTGGATTCTTTTGAGAATTTTCTTCTTGCTTTGTCTTCTCTCTGTTAAAAAACAATTTGTATATACATGTACAATAGATTTAAAATGAGTAATTATAACCTATGGTAGTGGAATGAACACTGAATTTTTCATCAGAAGAAACGTATTTTTTTTCTTAGCTGAAAAACTATGTAGTAGGATGACTTTTTTGGAGGCTTAGTTATCCTTTTAAAAAATACAGATTAAGTAGAACATATTATTATTATAAAGTACTTTGAAAAACAGAAATTACTATAGATATTTTAGCAAAGTATTTTTGTTGAATTTAACACTGAATCATACTTTGATCATTTGATCTCTGTCCTTAATGTGTTGTTCATTGTGAATTAATGCTGTAACTAGTACTCAAACAGTATTTTACACTTTATGTTCTGTGTGGGTGCAAACTGTTAAAATCTTTACTTAATATATACTAAATTGATCTTCTGTATATAAAGATAATTGAAAATGAATCTTGATGTGAATGGAATGGGAGAGGGAGTGGGAGTTGGGAGGGTTATGGGTAGGAGGGAAGTTATGGGGGGGGAAAGCCATTATAATCCATAAGCTGTACTTTGGAAATTTATATTTACTAAATAAAAGTTTAAAAAAAATTTGAGAGTTAACAACTACCAAGTGTTTTTCTAATATGGATTAATTTTTATCCCTTCTTATAAGGGCAATAAAAAATAATCCTCAAGTAGGAAGGAATGATATTCTTACCACAAGACTTTTACAAGGGTTTGTAGTAAAAAAAAAATAATAAAGAAGTCAGGTATTATTGAGTAACAGGGGATACACAATGTTATTTATCACTGTTATTAATACTATCACTGCTGATGTTAACCTTCATCTCTTGATGAAGGAGGCTTTCCAATGCAAAATTATTATTTTCCCCCTTGTACAGAGTAAATGTTCAGGAAGAGATACTCTAAAACTATGCAGTGAACAGATTTAGGATAGCTTACAAATAAGTTCAAAAAAGCCCTCCCAACAAGAAGAGTTTACTGATTCTTTCCACACTACTAATGTCATAACTGGGTTATATTAGATGATTATGGGAAAATCACACTGGGCATTAAAAAACACAATGCTGGCCGGCGCCGCGGCTCAATAGGCTAATCCTCCGCCTTGTGGCGCCGGCACACCGGGTTCTAGTCCTGGTCGGGACGCCGGATCCTGTCCCGGTTGCCCCTCTTCCAGGCCAGCTCTCTGCTGTGGCCCGGGAGTGCAGTGGAGGATGGTCCAAGTCCTTGGGCCCTGCACCCCATGGGAGACCAGGAAAAGCACCTGGCTCCTGCCTTCGGATCAGCGTGGTGCGCTGGTCACAGCACGCCGGCTGCGGCGGCCATTGGAGGGTGAACCAACGGCAAAGGAAGACCTTTCTCTCTGTCTCTCTCTCTTTCCCTGTCCACTCTGCCTGCAAAAACAAACAAACAAAACAAACAAACAAAAAAAACCACAATGCTGATACCATAGATCTGATTTGTTAAAAATTACATGAAAATACACATGCACATATATCTTTCATGAAAGTATTATCTGGAGAGGTATAAACACCATCTGCATTTCCATTCAGAAAAAAAGCTGATAATATGTCAGTCTTAATTCTTTGTGTAATCATTATTTAATGATTTTCCAACATTTTCTAGTATCTATTATTATCAATAGTTATTTTAATTATTTTTGTGCACAAGTCTTTATCTGGATTTCTGATAATTTTCTTAAAGCAATTTTCCTAGGACTGGAATTGCCAGGTCAAAAGATAATACCATTTTATTACTCTTGTTTATTGCCAAATTGCTATTTGGAAAGTTTAAATCAGTTCATTCACCTAGAAGTGCAGCATATTATCTGTCTCACTATAAGCATAGATAAGATTTTAACTTTTAAAAGAAATGACTGGTCAGTGAGCATTTGTTGAGTGCCCACTGTGAGCAGAGCATCCTGCTAACATCAAATTTTACTTGTTTCACAATTTATTTTAGGTCAGCCTAGTTTTTCCAGGGCTTGGGAGCAATCTGAAAAGCAAAATTGACCTTAGAAAGAACTCACTAAAACACTGGTGATTGCTTTCTGAAAGGCACGGCATCTGGAGGAGGCCTGAGCCTGGCACTTGAAGGAGTGAAAAGCAAGTCCACTGCCATGCTGCTTTAAATTGGGTAGAATAAGAGCAATCAAGAACACAGGCGGGGGGAAGCTGTGTAGGCTGACGGGGTGGAAGGGATTATCTAATAGGTGTATCTGGCCTCTCAGTTTGAGTATTCTGACACTTCAGTCACGTTGTCCTAAGACTTTTGCAGTTCCTGCATCAGTGCTGTCTCAGAATAAATACATTAGTTGGTTCACTTACAAAGCTCATTTTCTGTGTGAGGATACATAGCAGTACTACTTCCTGTGGGGACGATTTTCTTTTTCATTTTGTCAGATATTCTTTTTTTATTATGAGTAGCAGTAAGGTGATAGTGACTTTCTTTACGATTATTAGAAAATAAGACACTAACACAATTCACAACAGGACGAAGCACAATTGCTGAACATGCATAATAAAATGCTCAATCTTAAAAATATTATTTAACCGAACAAACACAAACCAATCAATATAATACCTTTTAAATTGTGAAAATATTGGAAATCATTATACTCCCAAGTTTTGAGAAGAGTGTAGTAAACTGGCCCACTGCTGGCCATACAGCAAATATATACAACCCGTACTGAAAGCAATTTGGCAACATTTCAAGAATCATAAAAAGATCTATGCTATTTAATTCAGTAATTACATCCCTAAGAATTTATCTGAAGAATATAATTCAAAAGCATGAAATAGTTCTATGGTTAAGGATGCTTATTACAATATCATATTGATGAAAAATCTGAAAAAGCCAAAATGTTTACCAGTTTGGGGAGGAGGTCCTTACATAAATTATGAGTAGGAACTCAACAGAGTGACATACAGACCTCAAAACTCCAGATAATGTGTTATTACAATAAACAAAGTAACAAATTAAATGTACTTTGTGGTTGTAATTAAGTATATAAAGGGATCACGAATCTTTAGAGTTCCCCACAACAGAAAAACTCTAATGTGGTTTATCACACTGCCTTACATTTTCCAGGCTTCTTCCACAGTGTGTCTCCTCTCAATGATCTCCCTCCTCAATTTTATCATCTCTCTCCGAATCTCCTCCTCCTCTTTCTTGGCCTCAAGAGCCTTCCTTTTTTTCTCTTCTTGCACCAAATACTGAGCCTCCAGGAAGGCTGACTTTTTCAAGGCCTTTTCAATTCTCTGGAACTCCAGTTCTTTCTCACGTCTTATGCGATTTTCTTTTACCTTAAAGAGAATTTAACAATGGTGAAATATAAAACCTTTCAAGAAGAAAGGGAAATGCAAAACCTTGGAATACATGTTGAAGTTCAGAATACAACCATCTTGAACTCTTCTGACCCAGAACCTCACTGTTTACTGGTAAGATAGGGGGAATTCATTTGTTTACTGAGTAAGGACCAATGCAAAATTTTAAATGAAGTCAAATGTAGAGGATATCCTAACATTCTAGGAATGATCTGCATCTTGGAAAAGTTGAGAATTTAATGATTCTCAACAATGATCCCAAATTCTTTATTCATATCTATTCAAGATTTCACACCCATGAGGTTGTTTGAGGAGCATACTACTGATTTTACTTTGGCCCTGTCCATATTCTAATTATAATTTAAGAAAGAGTAAGGGTACTTTTTGGAGGATACATTGTGAAGGACGGAACAGTGATTTGCTGCCTTAAGGTACAGCACAACTCAACTCACTTCTACCATTATTTAAATATACTAGTGATTCTGAATCATCTTTGGAAGTTAAAAACATGAACATTATAGATCATTCTGAATATAAACGCATTCACTTTTTTCAAACCTATTATTTCTATATTAAGATTTGTTTATTTATTTGAAAGGCAGAGCAACATATAGGGAAAACACACATATAGAGAGGTTTTTTCTTTTAAGATTTTATTTATTTATTTGAGAGGTAGAGTTACAGACAGTGAGAGGGAGAGACAGAGAGAGAGGTCTTCCTTCTGTTGGTTCACTCCCCAGATGGCTGCAAAGTCTGGAGCTGCGCCAATCCAAAGCCAGGAGCCAGGTGCTTCTTCCTGGTCTCCCATGCGGGTGCAGGGGCCAAGGATGTGGGCCATCTTCTACTGCTTTCAAAGGCCGTAGCAGAGAGCTGGATTGGAAGTGGAGCAGCCAGGACTAGAACCAGCGCCCAAATGGGATGCTGGTGCCACAGACGGAGGATTAACCTACTGTGCCACAGCGCCAGCCCCAGAGAGGTTTTCTACCTGCCAATTCATTCCCCAAATGGCCGCATCAGCCCAGCCTCCTCTACATTGAAGCAAAGAGCCCAAATTCTACCCAGGTCTCCCATGTGCGTGGCAGGGGCTCAAGTACATAAGCTACCTTCCACTGCTTTCCCAGGTGCATTAACAGGGAAATGAATCAAAACTGGAGCAGTCCATACTCCCAACAGGCACTCATATGGGATGCCAGTGCCACAGGTGGCAGCTTAATCCACTATGCCACAACATTGTTCCCAAAACCTATTATTCCTATTTTTAATTTTTTTTAAGATTTATTTATTTGAAAGTCAGAGTTACAGACAGAGAGATCTTCCATTTGCTGGTTCACTCCCCAAATGGCCACGATGGCTGGGGCTGGGCTAGGCCAAAGCCAGGAGCCAGGAACTCCATCAGGATCACCCACCTGGGTGGCAGGGCCCCAAGTTCATGAACCATCCTCCACTGCCTTCCCAGGTGTATTAGTAGGGAGTGGGTCTGGAAGCAGAGCAGCCAGGATTCAAACTAGTGCTCTGATACAGAATGTGGTCATTGTAGGCAGCAGCTTAGCCTGTGTAACAACACTGGTCCCAAAACCTATTGTTTCTTTAGAGGTTTGAAAAGCTCTGAGTTAAGGAATGGTCCTTCCTCTCCTGCTTTATTTTTTTTTTTATTTTTATTTATTTATTTATTTATTTATTTTTTTGATAGGCAGAGTGGACAGTGAGAGAGAGACAGAGAGAAAGGTCTTCCTTTTGCTGTTGGTTCACCCTCCAATGGCCGCCGTGGCCTGCGCACTGTGGCCAGCGCACCGCGCTGATCCGATGGCAGGAGCCAGGTGCTTCTCCTGGTCTCCCATGCGGGTGCAGGGTCCAAGTGCTTGGGCCATCCTCCACTGCACTCCCTGGCTACAGCAGAGAGCTGGCCTGGAAGAGGGGCAACCGGGACAGAATCCGACGCCCCGACCGGGACTAGAACCCGGTGTGCTGGCGCTGCAAGGCAGAGGATTAGCCTAATGAGCCACGGCGCCGGCCGTCTCCTGCTTTTCTTAACATCACCCTCTTCTTACTCTCTAATAGTGGTAAGACTTCCAGACAATGGCCATATATCTTATTGGACCTCCTCTCTTCCCTTTCATCAAAAATCCAAATCAAGATAATACTTCTCTACCCCGGTTTCTGCAACTTTGCCAATGCTGAGTAGGCATATCTTAATGGTATAAGCAGTGATTTTCAAATTCAGTGTAATAAAGATAGCACACACATGTATAGGTAGTGATGCCAGTACAGTCTTAGTTCTGGACATATGGCAAAGACTAGGTCATTCTGATTCCTTGAAGCTCCCAGGGTTTTTTTTTCCTATGACCTATAATTGCCTTTGGAGAAGAGAGTTCCCACATGCCTTCTAATTCAAAGCAGTTGAATAGATTTAATTCAGATCTGTCCTCCTTTTCAAATGATAATCACAAAATGAGTTTATTTCAGTTGTCTTAAAGAGAATTATCCTTATAATATTCACCAGAATATTCATGATATTAATATATTAATGTCACAATTTAAAACCAAATTCAAAACAATGCAACCTACATTTATAATAGGAAGTACCACATTCAAACTAATAAAATTTAGTCCAACACTACTGATGAAAATCAATTATTCTTTCTTTGGTTATTTCCCAAATTGTTTCCTACCCTCAGTTTATGAGAATTATTTTTCTTCTGAAGTTCTTATATTTTATTTTTATTCTTTCTAACCAAACCACAGATGGTACCCTTTTTCATAATAAAGCCTAAATCTTTATTTAAGCTTATTAAATGTGTTACACAAAGACTGCTTCCTGTTATCCATTTTAATTTTGTTTTTCCCTCCCACCTGCTTATGTCTCATCTCCATGGTAAGCCGAGGATCCTTCTGCTGCTTCTTGTCTTGGTTTTCCTTCATTCCAAGATCTTCCAGCATCCCAGAATCCACCACTTCTTTACGGAGCAGATGGTCTAAAAATTTTTGAACAGTGGTACTTTCCTCTTCTTCCTCCAAATAACCATATAAATCTGAGGGAAAGAAATGAAAAAATGGGAGGATTAAAAAATTTAATTTTGGTAATAATATCCATAGTTATATAAAGAATTCTGGTGTAAGAAAAACAGAAGACTGTGAATACTCAATAAATAAATGATAATGCCAACAGGATGTGCAAAGCCCTCAGTGATTACCTTCAGCTAAGAGGCAACAAAACTCCACTTAAAGGGAATTGCCTTCACCCAAGTCACTAAAGACACCTTAACTGCCAAATCTATGTTATTACTTCAATCTAAACAACCTTGAGAATTCCACTGCTTTAAAACCAAAAAGCTTTATTGTAGTATAATTAACATATAATACACTGGAAATATTCAAAAAATACGATAATTTTTTATTTATTTTTTATTTAGTAAATATAAATTTCCAAAGTACAGTGCATATGTCAGTAAAACCATGCCCATGATTAAGATAATGAGCATGTCCATCAACCCCCAACTGTTCTCATGCTGATTTGTAATCTCTTCCTCTCACTCCTCCCCGTACCTTCTGCCCTACTCCAGGCAAGTACGGACTGCTTTCTATCACTCTAGATTAGTTTGCATTTTCTATAATTTCATATAAATTAAATAATTCTTTCTATACTCTGCTTTCAGTCTGGTTTCTTTCAGTCAAGCGTAATTATTCTGAGAGTCATCTATGTTGTGTGTATCAATAGTTTATTGTTTTTGATTGCTGATTAGTATAGTATTCCACTGTATGGACATACCACAGTCTGTTCATTCATGCATTTGATGATGGACATTTTGAATTTCTTCCACACTTTGATATTACAAATAAAGCTGTTATAAACATTTGTGTACAAGTCTTTATACAAACATATGCTTTCTTTTCTGTTGGAAAAATGCCTAGGAGTGGAATGGTTGATTTATATGGAAAGTATATGTTTAACTTTTAAGAAACAAACTGTTATACAAAGTGGTTATAAAGTTTCACATTTCCAACAGCAGTGTGAAAATGTTCCAGTTCCTCTATATCCTTACAAATACTGGTATGGCCAATCTTTCAAACTTAAGTCATTTTAAGAGAAATGCAATGTTAACTTATTGTAGTTTGAATTTATATTTTTCTAATAACTAATAATACTGAACATCTTCCTTATTGATATCTTTAAGCTGTTCAATATGGAATAAGGTGTAATGGGTACAGGTAAATAAACAGGGTGATTTGGAATGTGGTTGACTAAGGGCACCACAAACCTTTCTAGCCATAGACTTTAGGGGAAGTGGACCTCATTATAGTTAATCAAATACTGGAATTCTTAACACAATGCTTTGCCTCTTTCAGGTTCCAGACAAATGTTTTGCAGCTACTCACCCATGCAGAACATGCTGTTAGTTCTACCTATGTTAAGATCAAGCCATCAATTCTCCTTTATCATGTTTCTCAAGAAACTGCATTGACATTTGAGATTTACAATTAAAAAAAAAATCTTGTTGGGGTTGGTGTTGTGGCACGGCAGGTAAAGCTACCACCTGCGATGCTGGTATCCCTCATGGGCACTAGTTGGTTTCCCAGCTGCTCCACTTCTGATCCAGCTTCCTGCTAATGGCCTGGGAAAAGCAATGTAATATGGTCCAAGTGTTTGGGACCCTGTTGGCCATGTGAGAGACCTGAATGAAGTTCCTGGCTCCTGGCTTTGGCTTGGCTCAGCCCTGACCATTGCGGTCAGGGAGTGAACCAGTGGATGGAAGATTTTTCTCTATCTCTCCCCCTCTCTCCTGGACTTTCAAATAAATAAATAAACCTTAAAAAAATCTTGCTATTGAACCCATAACCAGTTCAGTGTTTGGTGTGTACTCCTGAGCCTCTCTCTCTAATTCCTGATGTGTTATTAGTTAGGATCTTCCAAGCAGTTACCCCTTCTGAGCCCCTCAGAAATCCTGAACCATCTTCATTTGGGAGGATGATAGTTCTTTAGATGTTCTTTTGTTATATCCTCATTCTATCGATAGGATAAACTTTCTCTTTCCTTTTTCCTCAAATGCGGTTTTCATTATTCTGATTTGGCACCTCTGGCAAGGATCAGACAGTTGATAAACCATACATTATTGAAAGTGGGGTACTGAAGTCTCTACCTAGTATTATTGAATTGTCTCTCCAATTTTGTCAGTTTTTGCTTTTTATATTTTGCAATTCTTTTGTCACCTATATACATACTTATAATTGTTAATGTTTCTTGATGAGTTGACCATTGTTCATTATAAAATGCAATTTTTGTCTCCTGTAACAATTTGTTTTTGTCCTAAAGTCTATTTTTTCTGATAATGCCATCATTCCTGCTCCTTTTTGGTTTCTGTTTGCTAGGTGTATCTTTTTCTATACTTTTATTTTCAACTTATTTTTGTCTTGTATATAAAGGATGTCTCTTCTAGATGGCTATGGTTAGTCACATATTCTGCCAATCTCTGTTTTAGGATTGGAGAATTTAAATCTATTTACATTTAATACATACTTAATAAGTGAGTTTACATTTGTCATTTTGGTGGGGTTTTTCTTTTAAGATTTATTTTATTTATTTGAAAGGCAGTTACAGAGAGAGAGAGAGAGGGAGAGACACAAAAAGAGATCTTCTATCTGCTGATTCACTTCCCAAATGGCTATAATGACTAAGGCTGGGCCAGGTTGAAGCCAGAAGCCAGAAGCTTGTTCCCAGTCTGCCACATGGGTGCAAGGGCCCAAGGACTTGGACCATTTTCAGCTGCTCTAGCAGAGAGCTAGATCAGGAGTAGAGCATCTAGAACTTGAACCCATGCCCTTATGGGATACCAGCTTTGCAGGCAGCAGCTTAACCCGTTAAGCTACAATGCTGGCCTCTTGGTGTTTGTCTTCTATACATCTTACATAAATGCTCTTTATAAAAAAAAAAATGCCCTTTATCAAGTTACAGAATTTCCTTTCTTTCACCATTTGTTGAGAGTTTTTATTAGGAATGGATGTCAGATTTTGTCAAGTGCTTTGCCCTGTGTCTACACAGATAATTATATGTTAATATTTTTGGTGAACATACTTTTATATTTTATTTTAATTTGAGAGAGAGAGAGATGGAGATAGAGAGAGAAGAGGGGGAGAGAGAGAGAGAGAGAGAGAGAGAGAGAGAGAAAGAGAGAATTGATGCTGGTTCACTCCCCAAATGCCTTCAATGGCTAAGAATGGGCTAGGCCAAAGCTGGAAGCCAGGAACTCAATCCTCAAGGGTGGCAAGAACCCAACCATTGAAGCCATCGCTGCTGCCTCCCACGGTCCACTTCAGCAAGAAGCTAGAGGCAGAAGCCAGAGCTTGTATCGACCCCAAGTACTCCAATATGGGGTACAGGTGTCCCAAGTGGTATCTTAACCACTAGTCCAAATGTTTGCCTTTCAGTAGTTTCATGATGTTTTCATTCAATATTTTGATTTTAAAAATATATTAGAAAAAGATAGTTGAGGCCTGGCATGATACTAAATGATAATGGATGATGTAAATAAAAGGATAGCCGGTGCCGCGGCTCACTAGGCTAATCCTCCGCCTTGCGGCGCCGGCACACCGGGTTCTAGTCCCGGTCGGGGTGCCGGATTCTGTCCCAGTTGCCCCTCTTCCAGGCCAGCTCTCTGCTGTGGCCAGGGAGTGCAGTGGAGGATGGCCCAAGTGCTTGGGCCCTGCACCCCATGGGAGACCAGGAGAAGCCCCTGGCTCCTGCCATTGGATCAGTGCGATGCGCCGGCCACGGCAGCCATTGGAGGGTGAACCAACGGCAAAAGGAAGACCTTTCTCTCTGTCTCTCTCTCTCACTGTCCACTCTGCCTGTCAAAAAAAAAAAAAAAAAGTAAATAAAAGGTTAGAACTAGATCTATTATCAATAAAGTTTCATTATATTCCACATATTTGTTTCAGAACAAAAATGAAATATTAAAATACTTAAATTTCATATTAATAACCTAAAAAAATCCAGAAAACAGTAACCAGAATGACAAGATCTAGAAACCATACAGAATAGTAGAGGGGCTAGTGTTGTGGTACAGCAGGTTAAAGCCCCAGCCTACAGCGCTGGCATCCCATATGGGTGCCGGTTAGAGTCCCGCTGCTCCACTTCCAATCCAGCTCTCTGCTATGGCCTGGGAAAGCAGCAGAGGATGGCCCAACTCCTTGGCCCCCTGCACTTGCGTGGAAGACCTGGAAGAAGCTCCTAGCTTCAGATCAGCTCAGTTCTGGACATTGCAGTCATTTGGGGAGTGAACCAGTGGAATGGAAGACATCTCTCTCTCTCTCTCTCTCTGGCTCTACCTCTTTCTGTAACTCTGTCTTTCAAATAAATTAAAAAAAAATTCTTTAAAAAGAAAGAATAGTAGAGGGTAGTAATACTATTTAATCTGGGAACATCAAAATAGATAGGGGTCAGATACAGTTCCAACTCCCATAGAATTATAAAAAGATTATTAAGACAGAGAATATTTTATTTTCCGTAGTGTAGAAAGTTATTGGGAGAAAAAATCCCTAATTCTTCTAAGTAAAGGAAAATTCAATGAGCATTAAAGCCTCCTAACAGCTCAATGTGCTCCTCTCAAAGTGCAGACTCCATCCAGGGGAAGGTATCCAGGCAAAATATTCCATCACTACATGGTAGGGGCACTGTAGGAGCTCTGGCTGGGCTGATAAGGAAGGTAGATCAGTCTAGGACACATGAAAGGATTCTGGTGTTGTGGCACAGCAGGTTAAGCCGTTTCCTGCAAGGCCAAGATCCCATATGAGCACTGGTTTGAGTCCTGGCTGCTCTACTTCCAATCCAACTCCCTGTTAATATGCCTTGGAATGCAGCAGAAGATGGCCCAAGAGCTTGGAGCCATGTCAGCCATGTGGGAGACTCAGATGAAGCTTCTGATTCCTGGCTTTGGCCTGGCCCAGCACTGGTGGGAATGAACCAATAGACAGTTCTCACTGTCTCTTCTTCCTTCTCTGAAACTCTGCCTTTCAAATAAATAAAATAAATTTTAAAAACAACTCAAAAGATAAGAGCTCATAACTCTGTGGTCCTCAAGCTGAGGATTCTGTAGAGTTACTTTGCAGAGTCAAGTGGGAATGCTACCAGGTGGATTCTCCAAGGATGCTTGAGTCATGCAAAGGAGCAGCTCCCTTCATTAACACACTTACCTCTGTGCTCACAGGAGAAACCTCAGACCTTGAAAGCATTTAAGAAACCCTCATGGGGCCGGTGCCATGGCATAGTGGGTTAATCCTCCGCCTGCAGTGCCAGCATCCCATATGGACGCTGGTTCTAGTCCTGGCTGCTCCTCTTCCAATCTAGCTCTCTGATATGGCCTGGGAAAGCAGTAGAAGATGGCCCATGTGTGTTGGCTCCTGCACCCGTGTGGGAGACTGGGAGAAAGTTCTTGGCTCCTGGCTTCAGATTGGCACAGCTCCGGCCATTGTGGCCAGTTGGTGAGTGAACCAACGGAGGGAAGACCTTTCTCTCTGTCTCTTCCTCTCACTGTCTGTAACTCTACCTCTCATATAAATAAATAAAATCTTTTTTTTTTTAAAGAAAACCTCATGGGACTGGCACTGTGTGTAAAGCCACCATCTACGATACCTGCATCCCATATGGATGCCAGTTCATATTCCAGCTGCTCCACTTCTAATCCAGCTCCCTGCCAATGGCCTGAGAAAAACGGCAGAAGATGGCCCAAGTGTTTGGAGTCCTAGAACATCCAGGGCTGGGCCAGGCTGAATCCAGGAGCCTAGAACTCAATCTGGACCTCCCATATCAATGGCAGGGACCCAAGTACTTGGGTTATCATTTATAGACTACTAGGTTGTGCATTAGTAGGAATGCTGGAATTGGAAGCAGAGTTGGAATTGAACCCATGTTCTCTGATGCGGGACACAGGCATCCAAGTAATATATTAACCACTATGCCATCTCTAAAATATTTTAATTTTAAAAAATACCATGAATTTACACTTAAATAATTTACATTCAATCAAGAACAACTAAAACCAGTAATAAAATTAAGGAAAGCACAGAAAAGTCAAATAAAATTTCATTTATTATTCAAAACAACTAAAAACAGTTTTTAGAGCCACTCATTGGATGCTGAAGTTTGGAACAATCAGATATGTTCTTACCATCAAACTTGTTGTACTTCCAGTGACTACTGGCTTCTTCCATAGGAGTGATACTCAACACAGTGTTTTCAGAATCCCCTTCTCCATCACTTGCTAATTCCTGTTTAAGTTTGGTGTCTAACCAGTCATTGACCAGCTCCTGAGCTATCAATAAAACAAAAACATCTTTTAAATATTTTAACTGCTTCAGAGACTCTTCATCCATTGTTTTCATTCATTCGATAAATATTAACTGTCATGTATCACCTACTGTTATAGGTTCTTGGAATATAGCTGTGAATAAAACTGGAAAAATAACCCCTCCCACCATGAAGCTTAAATTCTAACTGAGAAAGAGAGATAATTAATAAAAAATAAGGGAAAATAAAGTAGGGAAAGGAAAAATGAAGTAGAGTACATGGAAGATGGGCGCTGACGCTTTAAATTGGGTGGGCAAAGAAGGCTTCACTGAGAAGATATTTGAAGAAAGAAGAGAAGAGAGGGAGGAAGAGTCACATGGATATTTAAGGGAGATTATTCTAATGCAAAGGCCTTTAGGTAGAAATGCCTACAGTGTTGGAGAAATAGCAAGGAGGCTGTGTAGCGGCAGAGAGAGGGGAGAACAGCAGGAGATGAGGGGAAGAGGTCAGGTTTAGGGAAGCAGTAATCAACGGGGGAGTTTTGCCCCATAGTAGACAGATGGCAATGTCTGGAGTCATTTATTTTTGAAGACTTATTCATTTATTAGAAAGGCAGAGTTATAGATAGAGAGAGAGAGAGAGGGAGAGATCTTCCATCTACTAGTTCACTCCCCAAATGGCCACAATGGCCACAGCTGGACTAATCCAAAACCAGGAGCTTCTTCGAGGTCTTCCACGTGGGTACAGAGGTCAGGCATTTGGGCCATCTCCCTCTGCTTTCCCAGGTACATTAGTAGGGAGCTGGATCAAAAATGGTGCCGGTTCAAGTTCTGTATGCTCTAATGTGGGATGCCAGTGCTGCAGGTAGCAGCTTAACCTGCTATGCCACAGTGCTGGCCCCCAGAGTCATTATTTTAAAAACCTTTACTTATTTTAGAGCCAGAGAGATGGAGACTGTGCATCCACTGGTTCACTCCCTAAATGCCTACGACGACTTTGGATGGAACCAGGTTGTAGATCAAAGCCAAAAGATCTAAAGGTCTTCCACATGGGTGGCAGGACCCAGTCACTTGATTCATCATTGCTGCCTCCCAGGGTCTGCATTAGCAGGAAGCTGCAGTCCAGAGCTACAGGAAGGTATTGTAGCCTTGTGCTCAGAGGAAAAAACCTCAGACCCTCCAATATGGGAAACAGACATCTTAATTAGTATCTTTTTTAAAATTTTTTTATTTTTTGACAGGCAGAGTGGACAGTGAGAGAGAGACAGAGAGAAAGGTCTTCCTTTTGCCTTTGGTTTACCCTCCAATGGCCACCGCAGCCAGCGTGCTGCGGCCAGCGCACCGCGCTGATCCAAAGGCAGGAGCCAGGTGCTTATCCTGGTCTCCCATGGGGTGCAGGGCCCAAGCACTTGGGCCATCCTCCACTGCCTTCCCGGGCCACAGCAGAGAGCTGGCCTGGAAGAGGGGCAACCGGGACAGAATCCGGCGTCCCGACCGGACTAGAACCCAGTGTGCCGGCACCACAAGGTGGAGGATTAGCCTAGTGAGCCGCGGCGCCGGCCCCTTAATTAGTATCTTAATCACTAGGACAAATGCCCACCCGAGAGCCATTTTTGTTTGTCACAACTGGGGAAATGAAATTAGTTTCTAGTGGACAGGGGCCAGGGATGCTGTTAAACATGCTGCATTCACAAGGATGGCCCCTCACATTTAAAAGTATCTAGCCCAAAATATGAAAAGCCATGAGGTTACAAACTGCCTTCTTTAGAGTCTTGAAATCATTCAAGGTACTAAGGCTTTTACTCTGAGTGCAATGGGAGGACATAACCAGGAAGGTTCTGAGCAAAAAACTGACTGACATTTTAAGAGGTTCACTTTGATAGACTCTGGGCAATGAGCACAGAAGTAGGGGACACCAACTGGGAGACAACTGCAATAATCTAGGACAGAGGTAAGGATGGCCTGAACCTGGAATAGAGAGATAAAAAATGGTCACGGTCTAGAAAAGAATGTTTGGAGTTGGATTTGACATGATTTGCAGATGGACTGGATATGGGATATGGAAAAAAATCTACAAAGATTTTGACATAAGCACTGCAAGGACAGAGATGTCATTTATTGAGATAGGGAAGGATAAGCAGCAGATTTGGAGAAAAGATCAGGAATGCAGTCTTCAATGTGTTAGGTTTGAGATGCTTATGAGACATCCAAATAGGGATGTCAAATAGGCAGTAGTTTTGGATTAAGGGGAAGAGTCTAAGCCAAGGAAATAAATATGGGAAATTTCAGGAAATGTTCATGGAAAAGTTGATTTTCACAAAGAAAGTTTTTAAAATCAATATATATAAATGGTTTTCAAAATTTTCAAAATGGAAAATGCATATATTATGAAAAAATGCACATATTTCAAAATTCTTTTGCATCAAAATTAACTTATGTTTTAGTTCCATTTTCTATTAACTTTTTGAAATATTCTCATACAAATAAAATTTAAAGCTGTAGCACAGATCACCAAAGGAGGAAAGTAGATAGAGAAAAAGTTAAAGAAGTAGGCCTGAGGAACTCTAGTATTTAGGAGTTAAAGACATAGGGTAGGGGCCAGCATTGTGATGTAAAGGTTTAGGCCCTCTGCCCCCAACACTGGTATCCCATATGGGCGCCAGTTCAAGTCCCAGCTTCTCCATTTCTGATCCAGCTCCCTGATATTGTGCCTGGGAAAGCAGTGAAGACGGCCTAACTCCTTGGCCCTTGCACCCAAGTGGAAATCCAGATCAAACTCCTGGCTTTGGCCCAGCCTAGCCCTGGCCATTGTGGCTATTTGGGGAGTAAGCTAGAGGATGGAAGATGTCTCTCCCTCTCTCTCCCTCTCTGTATAACTCTGCCTTTCAAATAAATAAAAATAAATCTTAAAAAAAGAAGAAGACGACGACGACGACATAGTGGGGAGCCAGGAAAGCTTACAAAAGCTGACTGGAAAGGAGATTCCATTGAGGTAGGAAAAATCAGAGTGTGACACCCTGAAAGCCAAAATCCACTTGGATTTCTTTCCTAATGATATTGAGAAAATCAATATAGGTATGGATGGAGAGGAATATCTACTTTAGCATTACCTTCATCATTGCTATTATTATCAAATAGCACCTATGTGTAGGGCATGGGGTGTTCAAAGAATTACTACTTAGTTCATTTTTGATAATATGTTCTTTTGTCTATTTTAGCATTTGCTTCATCATTGTTGTTATCACTGTTACCTAGTTCTTATGAGGCCGATGCCAACAGATAAAATAGCGGGGAAAAAGAATCACAGTAGTAGAAATTAAGTGTAAAAAGTATACTAGCAACTAACATTCTTAGCTTTCAGAGTAAGTTGAGGAAGGGGGCAGATATTTATTGAATAACTGTGTATAATAAAAAAAACATTTATGTATATAACTTTTTTTTTTTTTTGACAGGCAGAGTGGACAGTGAGAGAGAGAGAGAGACAGAGAGAAAGGTCCTCCTTTTTGACGTTGGTTCACCCTCCAATGGCCGCTGTGGCCAGCGCGCTGCGGCCGGCGCACCGCGCTGATCCGAAGCCAGGAGCCAGGTGCTTCTCCTGGTCTCCCATGCGGGTGCAGGGCCCAAGGACTTAGACCATCCTCCACTGCACTCCCTGGCCACAGAAGAGAGCTGGCCTGGAAGAGGGGCAACCGGGACAGAATCCGGCGCCCCAACCGGGATTAGAACCCAGTGTGCCGGCGCCGCAAGGCGGAGGATTAGCCTATTGAGCCGCAGCACCGGCCTACATATATAACCTACATGTAAAATAATTCAGTTCTACTCTATGCCATTCATAGCAAACAAGGGTTTGCTATGAAGAGTCTCCAAAAGAATAAAGGAAACTTCCCTGGGAGGGTTAATCTGTAGAAATACCTCCATAGCGGTAGAGGAAAGGCACAGACTACCTTAAGCAGTTTCTCAAAGCGCATTCCTCAGGACACTAGTTCTTGTAAGAATATTCATAAATTTGGCAAGGGGAGAACAAAATGATATAAACCTTTGAAAATCATTTTCCATCCATACACTAGTACCTCCTTATGTGGATCGCTAGTTTCTCAGGAGAGTAATAGGCATTTCAGGATACAAACGTCTAAGGAAGTTTGGGACATAAGGTGTGTAAATGTTTCTTTTTAACTGTAAGAATTTTCAGAAACCTTAACAGGCTAACGTGTACTGTGCATCCCTAATGAACTGGGGTAGACCAAGACAAAGATTAACAGTTTCAGTCCAACACACAAGACCAGTCACTATCACTGCTTACCCAGAACTGCACAGTGGCCTGTGCTTTCTTATTCTCCCATATAATCCATTCTTCATTTAATTTTTCAAAATGCCCAGTCAGGCTTGTGGTTAAAACACCTCAATGCTGCCCTAATTCTAGCCCCCCTCCCCAAGGCTTGTAAAGCCCTAAGTGATCTGTCTTCTGTTCACTCTTATAAACTCTTCTTTAGTGGGAAGCTCCAGCTGTGCAGTCCCCTTTCAGTTCTTTAAGCTCACCAAGCATGTCTGTGCTTCAGCTCTTGACATATTTCCCTCTGTCAGGGATGCTCTTCCCCTGTCACTGCTCAGCTGACTCTTTGCTAGCCTGGCCCAAACACGAATGACTTAGCACTACCTAATAATTCTTGTTAATTTTCTTTAAAATGCTATGAAATAATGGTTTTGCATCTTTTGTTCATTACCAGTACCTCCAGTGCCTAAAATAGTAACTGGTACAGAGGAAGAATTAAGTATATAGATGTCGAACAAATGAGGAAGTAAAATAAATGACTGGAGACATAAATAATCCAAATGGGAACTGGCTTGCAGGACTTTGCTCCTACCTCAATGACTTCTTCCCAGTCACCTTGCTAGTTCCTCCTAATCCCTTTTATCCCTAAATGGCAGAATTCCTTGGGGCATCGTAACTAAAATAACTGAATTCTAGAGAGTAAATAAATGCTTTTGGGAGACAGAGAAGTTAGATGGGTTTTAGAGTCTCTTCATAAGGAACAAAATTGATTTATAAACTAGTAGTTAAATTATTTGTACAATACCAGATCAGTTTAATGTGCTACTTTCTCTGCAATAAGACTAAAACCATACTGAGAGTCAAACAGCCTATGGATGTAGTGGGTTCTGTTTCAAAAAACAAAATGTGCCTTATGTATGCTCTTACTTGTTTATATTGGAATTAATTCCAGAGCAAATTAGCTCCAGGGCAGTAGGATTAAATAAAAATTAAGAACAAGAGTAACATGACTAGAGCCTAGGGAGATTACTGACACCATAAACAAGAGTGTCAAATTATTAAGTCAACAACAGGAGTCACTGTGTACTTACTTCTCATGTGGGATCTGTCCTTAATGTGTTGTCCAATGTGAAGTAATGCTATAACTAGTACTGAAACAGTATTTTACACTTTGTGTTTCTGTGTAGGTGCAAACTGATGAAGTCTTTACTTAATATATACTAAATCGATCTTCTGTATATAAAGATAATTGAAAATGAATCTTGATGTGAATGGAATGGGAGAGGGAGCGGGAGATGGGAGGGGTGCGAGTGGGAGGGAAATAATGGGGGGGGAGCCATTGTAATCCATAAACTGTACTTTGGAAATTTATATTTACTAAATAAAAAAAAAGAAAACTTTTAAAAAAAAAGAACAAGAGTAAGAAATCTTCCATTATGCATTTTCAAATACATTATGGATTATACTTTAAGAACTGTTAACACTAAAGGGGGAAAAAAAAAAGCCTTCTCTCACCTTCTGCATAGACTTCATCATGATCTTCTATTTGCTCAGATGTTTCCAAATCTGGGATTTGGCCCCAAAGCCTTCTTGGTAAATCTGAATTTCTGGCAGAAAACACATCTGAAACTGCAAATTCTGAGGCCTCCTCCACTCTCTGCAATGTCAGAGGAAAAAATTCCATTAAGATGACGACTTTGTTCATAAAGAATTTATCTCCTATTTAAGAATCTGGTTTTCTACCAAGATTCTTTAATTTTTTTAAAAGATTTATTTTATTTATTTGAAAAGCAGAGCTACACAGAGAGAGGGAGAGAGAGAGAGAGAGAGAGATCGTCCATCTGCTGGTTCATTCCCCACATGGCTGCAATGGCTGGGGCTGGGCCAGGAACACTTGGGTCTTTCACATGGGTGCAGGGGCCCAGTGACGTGGGCCATCTTCTGCTGCTTTCCCAGATACATTAGCAGGAAGTTGGATGGGACTCAAACTGGCACCCATATAGGATGCCAGCATTGTAGGCTCAACACATTATGCCCCAACACTGGCCCCCATTGTTTCACTTCTGAAAGCACTCTGAGGTTTAAACATCCATGCTAAACAAGTGTTTGATTTCATATTTAAGAGGGTATTTCAAAAGGCTCATGGAAAAAATGAAATTAAAATGATTATTTTGGTGAAAAAAATTTTTGAAATCCATGCATAGCTTTTTGATGATTCACACTTTCCATGGACTTTTTGCTCAAAATAATGATGGTATTTTACCAAGTTCTAATACGTGTTCACAAGGTTTATATTTGAAGAAAAAGTTATTTAGGCTTTAGATAATTTTTATTTAGGGCATTTTAATGGGATCCTCAGAGCTGGGTATTTTATTTCAAATAAAAATATAATATTTTAGTAGTTTCTATGCCACTAAGGATTTGCATACACAGGCAGATTAAATACAACTTTTTCAGTTTCCTACTCCTGAAAGAAACATCCCATCATATATTAGGAAAATACAGGTTCTATAAAATTGTGATAAACAGTCAATGTTTATCTGTAGTTATTCAAAATGTTGTATTCCACAGTTAAAAGTCTAGTAAAAAACATGACCAAATTTATGGGAATTGAGGAACTGGAGATGGACAGTCAGACTTAGCATTATGATTTACCTGCACAAATATAAAAGAATTTATTTTACAACAAAATCTCTGACTTTCCCCTTCCCACATCCTTGATCTTCCCTGTAGGCTTGCTGTGTTCCCAGTCTTCTTATTTTTTAAAAAAAGATTTATTTATTTATTTTGCACAGTATACAGAGGAAGAGGGAGACAGAGAGAAAGAAAGATCTTCCATCTGCTGGTTCACTCCCCAGATGGACTGCAAGAGCCTGGGGCTGGGCCAGGCCAAAGCCAGGAGCCAGGAACTCCATTCAGGTCTCCCACGTGGGTGGCAGGGGCCCAAGCACTTAGGCCATCTTCTACTGCGAGTAGTACTTCTGCCAAAACTTGCCAAGAACTATCTAAGTATCATAGATATCATATACCAAGTTTAAGTCAGAAGATAGGAATTAAGTTGAAAAGTCAAGGGTAATTTGAAAATATGTAAAAAATAGAATATACAGGAAAATATATGAACAAAAAAAATTCCATGATCTTATCACAGTTAGAGTCAAGAAAATATCACGACTTCTTATGAGGTTACTCTGTAGAGCTATTTTCCCACATTATTTCTCACGGCCCCTAATGTGTTCAAATTTATGTTGGTACCATATGTCATTTACTGGACTTACAGTTTATACGCAATCATTCCCTTCAGGTTTTTAAATTCTAATTAGAATGAATTTCACAAAAGTCATGGGTGCCTGCTTTTGTATACACATAAACTTACAAAGAAATAATATACAAATAAATTAATCCATTTTAGTTTTTTAAACTAATACCGACAAAAAACTAAACAACAAAAATAGAGGTATACACTTGACTTAGTTCCTCAGGCCATGAGTGAAAGAAATAACCTTAGCTGGGATTTGTAAAGGAGAGCAGAGAGCTTGGGAGATATGAGGAAGAACACTGATTTGGAGGCAAAGGAGAGTCTGGATCTGACAAAGAAGGCAGTAATGACAAATATTTGCTTGGTTATAACAAAGCAAGTATTTAAAAATCTCACTTAAAAGTAAGATTTTATTTTATTTTTTGGCAGGGGTGGGCTGGAGGGAACTACCAGACAGCAGTAAGGATTAGAAATAATCTCTGACATTGCTGGGGAATCTGAACTTACACTGAGGACTGCACAAATCCTTTGTGTGGTTCTTGGGAGAGAGTGGACGAATATTGTACCTACTGGGGCTAGTGCTCAGGCACTGGTCTCCATGGAGGAGAGGAGCTCAGCTGAGCAGAATAAACCTCCCTTCTGATTAAAAAAAAAAAAATAGAGATTTACCACACCAAACCTGGGTGTGTCACTTCAGGCATGCCTTTAACCCTGGATATGCCTCTCTGCTAATGTACCTGGGAGAGCAGTGGAGGATAGCTCTACTGCTTGGGCATCTGCATACACCTGGGAAACCTGGATGGAGTTCCTGGCTCCTGGCTTGGCTTGGCACAGTCCTGCCCCAGCTGTTGCAGCTTTCTAGGGAAGTGAACCAACAGATGGAACATCTCTCTTTATCTCTGTAACGCTGCCTTTTAAATAAATCAATCTTTAAGTTAAAAAAAAAAAAAGAAAGAATCTCTGTATGTCTTAAAATAGTACATGATCAACTTATTTTTCCCAAAAACTAAATAAGCCAAGAGACAGGAGAAGTCTACCCTGTGTTTCAGTAAAAACACTGTTGACAATTTAACAACTTATTCTTTCAGCAAGTCCTAATTGAAGGCTGGCTCTCTTCCTATCACTGCAGCAGGCATCAAGAGAAAAAACAAAAGTAAGTTTCTATTCTTGAAAAATTCACTTTTCTTCTCCCTTGCATAGGCATTTGGCCAAATGGTTAAGACACCAGTTAAGGTACATGGGTCCCACATCAGAAGGTCTGAGTTCAATTCCCAGCTTTGGCTCTTGACTTCAGTTTCCTGCAAATGCAGACCCTGGGAGGCAGCAGGGATAGCTCAAGTAGTTGGATCCCTACCACCCACATGGGAGACCTGGATTAAGTTCACACTCCTGGCTTCAACTCCATCTGTCTCTGACTCTCAAATAAATATCTTTTTAAAAGTTCATTTTTGGTTCCATATTCCATGTATATAACAAACAGCGGCCATTTGAAGAGTGAACCAATGGGAGGAAAACCTTTCTCTCTGTCTCTCTCTCTCTCACTGTCTATCTTTGCCTGTCAAATAAAACAAAACAAAAAACAATTCAGTAACAGTTCTAAAACAATATGTGGTGATTTAAAAAGAACTGTCTGAGGGCCGGCGCCGTGGCTCACTTGGTTAATCCTCCGCCTGCGGCACTGGAATCCCATATGGGCACCGGGTTCTAGTCCCGGGTGCTCCTCTTTCAGTCTAGTGCTCTGCCATGGCCTGGGAGGGCAGTGAAGGATGGCCCAAGTGCTTGGGCCCCTGCATCCGCATGGGAGACCAGGAGGAAGCATGCGGCTCCTGGCTTCGGATAGGTGCAGCACCGGCTGTAGCAGTCATTTGGGGAGTGAACCAACAGAAGGAAGACCTTTATCTCTGTCTTTCTCTCTCACTGTCTATGACTCTACCTGTCAAATAATAAGAATAATAAAAATAAAAAGAGCTGTCTGAGCCAGTGCTGTGGCGTAGCAGGTAAAGCCACCGCCTGCAGTGCCAACATCCCATATGGGCACCAGTTTGAGTCCCGGCTGCTCAACTTCCTATCCAGCTCTTTACTATGGCCTGGGGAAAGCAGTAGAAGATGGCCCAAGTCCCTGGGCCCCTGCACCCGCATGGGAGACCGGAGGAAGCTCCTGGCTCCTGGCTTCAGATAGGCTCAGCTCCAGCTGTTGCGGTCATCTGGGGAGTTAAACAGCAGATGGAAGACCTCTCTCTCTCTCTCTCTCTTTCTACCTCTCTGTAACTAAACCTTTAAAATAAAGTTTAGTACTCAATAACTATGTTATATATAAGTGTATAATTTGTAAAGAAACTGTGTCGATGCCGGCACTGTGGCGTAGCAGGTAAAGCCGCCACCTGCATGCAGTGCCGGCATTCCATATGGGTGCCAGTTCGAGTCCCAACTACTCTGCTTCCAAGCCAGCTCTCTGCTATGGCCTGGGAAAGCAGAAGATAGCCCAAGTCCTTGGGCCCCTGCACCCACATGGGAGACCTGGAAGAAGCTCCTGGCTCCTGGCTTTGGGTCAGCACTGCTCTGGCCATTGTGGTCAACTGGGGAGTGAACACTGGATGAAAGACCTCTCTTTTCTCTCTCTCTCTCTCTCTCTCTCTCCTCTCTGTAACTCTTTCAAGTAAAATAAATACATATTTAAAAAAAAAAAACTGTGTCATTCCTATGATCTTATAAGTGCTCAACAGATGCTCCTTGTATCCCATGGCACACAGATCCACTCCAGACTCTTTGAGGTCCTTGCCACTCATGGCAGAAACATCTGTGATGTAACTCTTCATTTCCTGAAGAGATACAAACATCTGTCTCCTGACATACTCCCATGTGAAATCATGATAGTTTTGTAAATGACATATTTTAAGTGCCTAATTCTTTTAAAAAATTAATTAGTTAATTTTTATTTGAAAGGGAGAGATATCTTACATTCATTGGTTCATTCTCTAAATGCCCACAAACAGGCAAGGGCAGGATAGGCCAAAGCTAGAAGCCCAGAACTTAATCTCAGTTTTCATGTGGATAACAGGGATATAAGCACTTGAGCCATCACCTTTTGCCTACCAGGGTGCACATTATCAAGCAGCTGGATAGGAAGTGGAGTAACTGGGCCAAGAACCAGGCGAGCATCCCATGTGATGCCTTAAGTAAGCATCGTACCAAATGCCTGCCCCTGTCCAGGAAGATTTATTTACTTATTTAAAAGGCAGAGTTACAGAGAGAGGGACAGAGAGACCCTCCATCCAGTGGTTCACTCCCTAAATGGCCACAATGGCCAGGGCTGGGCTGAGCCAGGCCAAAGCCAGAAGCCAGGAACATCTTCCAGGTCTACCACGTGGGTGCAGGGCCTCAATTACTTGGGCCATCTTCTGCTGCTTTTCCAGGCACATTAGCAGGGAGCTGGATCAGAACTGGAGCATCCAGGACTCAAACCACTCAAACCAATGCCCATATGGGATGTTGGCACTGTATGTGGTGGCTTAACCCACTATACCACAGCGCTGGCCCCTGTCCAATTCTTTTTAATCACTCTATATAAAAGTAAATGCTTGAGTTTATATCTGTGTGTATAAATGATAATATAATTCTAAGGCACAGAGTATTGGTAGATGGGGTTAGGTGGTTAGGATGGGTGAGGGGCATCTGTTCACTGAGGGGGCATCCGAAGACAAGCTGAAAGGAAAGGATTTGAATTAACCTCTGAGAGAAGATGGGAATTTCAGACTGAAGATTCAGCATTAGTTGTGGGGAGCAACTGGGAGCAACTCGGACTAGACTAAGTTACTGGAATTAAGACTTATTCTATGCATCTGCTCTCCCACAATATGGCGCTGGGAGAGGAGGAAACAGCTTCTACACAGCTGCCTCCAGTTCAGCCAATAAACTGTAGGACCTGCTCCTGATTGGAGGAGAGCAGCGTACTCGGAGTGTGGGTAGCAGAGTTGGGATTGGTGGAAGAGGACTATAAAGGAGGAGAGAGACAACATGCACCAGAAACATCTATCTGAAGGAACACCTGTGCAGCCCCCGAGAGAGCCGGCCGGCGGTGTGCCGCTCCCCCGCGGAAGTGGGGAAAGTGGCAGGAGGAATCGCCCTTCCACGGAGGTGGAAGGGTCGGTAGCCAACCCGGGAAGAACCAGCAGCAAACCCGGGGAGGGCCGAGCAGACAAAAGAACAGCGCAGGGTCCTGTGTCGTTCCTCCACGAAGACGGGGAGCGACAATTAGTCAAAGCAAAGGGAACACTGATCTGATTGTTGGAAGGGAAGGAGACTGGCTTGAGAGGAGTCACACAGAGTATACATTGCAGGGCTGTTGGGTTAAATTGATCCTATAGGTTGACTGATAGAGAGACACACAAAAATCTAAAGCTTCCAGAGTATGAAAATGTTGGAAAGCTCAGTAAAGTGGCAGAATGCGCTGGAATAAGAAGATGAGTCATTCTCTCAAGTCAGGATGAGGATGAATTGTAAATCATGGTGGACTGTTGCATTTTCAGTGAGCTGCCACAGGACACAATTCACTCAAACATCTGCCTGATTCTAAGAAATTTCTACATCCGTGAGGATGACTCATCATCTCAGCCTCAGGGTTTGTTTGATCTTCTATATTCTAATAGTCTTCCTCTTGATTCCACTTCAGCAAACCTGCTGACATGCTCATTCTGTACCACGTCACCCGGAGTTTTACATCATTCAACCTAAACTCTGATAACCCGTCTCCAATATGCATCTCCCCATTTGATTCTCCCCTACTCCCATGGCATTGATGTCACTGTGTATCTCCCTCTTCTCTCAATCTATGAGTCCTTTAAAGTGTCCCTTTCCCTTCCCACTAAGGGTGGAGATTCAGCTACTATGATACAGCATCCTCAAAGCCCTCATTCCTTTGCTTTTCCAATGAAAACCTCCAAACCTAGATCAATCTGATGTATGAATTTTTGGCACCATGAAAAATTATGGTTATATATTTTAGCAAGATCTCCACTGCTGCTGGGTAAGCTCACTTTATTTTTTATTTATTTATTTATTTTTTACAGGCAGAGTGGACAGTGAGAAAGAGAGACAGAGAGAAAGGTCTTCCTTTTGCCGTTGGTTCACCCTCCAATGGCCGCCGCGGCCGGCGCGCTGCAGCTGGCACACCGCGCTGATCCGATAGCAGGAGCCAGGTACTTCTCCTGGTCTCCCATGGGGTGCAGGGCCCAACCACTTGGGCCATCCTCCACTGCCTTCCCGGGCCACAGCAGAGAGCAGGCCTGGAAGAGGGGCAACCGGGACAGAATCCGGTGCCCCGACCGGGACTAGAATCCGGTGTGCTGGCGCCGCAAGGCGGAGGATTAGCCTAGTGAGCCGCGGCACCAGCCTTTTTTTTTTCTTAAAGATTTATTTTTCACTTGAAAGGCAGAGTTATAGAGAAAGGAGAGACAGAAAGCGAGAGTGATCTTCCAGTTAGGTCACTCCCCAAGTGGCTGCAGCAGCTGGGGCTGGGCTAGGCCAAAGTCAGGAGACTGGAACCCCATCTGGATCTCCCAAATGGGTGGAAGGGGCCCAAGTACTTTGGACCATCTCCTGCTACCTTCCCAGGCACATCAGGATGGAGCTGGAATGGAAGTGGAGCAGTCAAGGCTCCAACCATTGCTCATGTGGGATGCTGATATCACAGGTTGCAGCTTAATCAGCTGCGCGCCACAGCATCGGCCTCCAATCTTTTTCAATTCTGAAGAGAGAACTTTCAACTTCTGTCATGCTCCATACACTTCCTATATATCCTCCTTTCCCTCCACATAACAAGGGCTTAGCTGATTTTGACAAGGTTGTGCACCCAAGTAGATTTGGAAGTCTCTGTTGCAGAGGATGTAATTGTTTTGGGTACCCAGAGCTGGGATGTGTTGGGAGTAAAAACAGAAAAGATAGATAGTAGAGAACCAGGAGATAACAGTGTTATAGAAAGGCAATGGAGGAGAGGATTTCTAGAATAAAAAAAAAAAAAGTGATAACTGTATCAAATACAACATGAAAAAGTTTGAGGACTATCAATCACTGGATTTGGCTACGAGCTCATTTATAAGAACTTCTGTGAAAAGATAAGAAACAGAAACCAAGGAAAATAACTGTGGACATTGGAGGATAATAAAAATACAAAGGCAAGGAGTCCAGGTTATATATTTGAAGATAATGGAAAAGAAAAAGAAATTGTTCAGCAATCAGAATGGACTACAGTGTTAGATAAGGACTTATTTTTTTCAAGATGGGAGATTTGAGGCTGAACGGAGAATAAAACTCTGTCATGCTGGTTGACAACTGTATAAAGAGGAACATGGTACAGGTAAATCAGCCTCCTGGTTTAAATATTCTCCTCTGGAAGAGGTGGTAACCAACTGTTGTGACCAAGCCCTGCAGAGATATGGCACTGGGCCCCCCAAAACTGACATGCAAGCCAGTCTTAGATGGTGAGGAGAGGTCTTCTAAGGCTAGCCTCCATAATAGTGGATCCATTTTAGTTGTCTTATATGTCAGGCCTTCCGCAACAGCCAGGAAACCTTCCCAAGCCTCACATAATCAGAGTCTCTGATCACACACTTTCATTACATCTTTAATTCTCCTATCAGCTTTGGGTAAACTGTTTATCCTTCACTACACTACAAACTCTTGGAGGATGAGATTGTACCAGTCCTCTCTCCTGTTTTAGCTCTACTGCCCAAGAAAATGGGCTAGTACTTAGTAGGCACTTAATACCTGGTGCCCATAATGCATGTCAATTTAGACAGTAACTCCTCAAAATAATATTAGGTAGAAAGATATTTCCCCAGGAAAATATTGCTTGATTTTGAAATATGTGGTACACAAACACACTGAGTATGGCAAGTTGTCTAACTGACACTCAGAGGCATACAACTGAAGTGGTTTGATGGAACTTTCATCTTAAATGGTACCCTGACTTGAAAGCGTACATCTCATTTCAGGAAGAAATCTCAGAGGTTATCTAACCTAATCCCCTATTCACTGAAAGCACAAACATACTCTTCATTATCCAAACATTAAGCGACCATTTACAGTTCACTTGAATAGCTCCAATGATAGAAAACAGATCTCTGTATGAATGCTCACTCCATTTCTGGACCACTCTAGTAATTAGAAAATTCTTACTTGTGATGCTCACATAGTCTTCATCAATTGAGCCCCTAGGTCAGTGTAATTATACTACCATCTCTCCAACAGCTGTAGTAGGCCACTACATCCTTTTCCAAGGTTTGTCCTCCCTGTTCTGCTCAATGTTTCTTCATATGATACTCATGGCATTTGAAGCAGCATGTCTACATGCTGGTTTTCTTGAATTTGTGCTTAAACACTTCCAGGAAAAGCAACAAAATAGTGGGGAAAAAGCATAAAATTTAAGCAACATACATAGGAATAAAAATAACCATGTATATGTAAAATGGAGGCCTTATACTCCTTTTCCATGTGCTTATGACTCTTAATTCTCTTTTAATACTGATTTTGAAATACCCTTACCTTAATCCAGTGCTTCACATCATCAGGGTCAAAAGCAAGCTGTAGATAACATACATAGTATATTAACATACAGCAATATATTTATCAATTTTGGTATTTAAAGTGTCCCTTAGGGGCCAGCACTGTGGTGCAATGGGTTAACGCCCTGGCCTGAAGCGCCAGCATCCCATATGGGTGTCGGTTCAAGACCTGGCTGCTCCACTTCCAATCCAGCTTTTTGCTGTGGCCTGGGAAAGCGGTAAAAGATGGCCCAAGTCCTTGGGCCCCTGCACCCGCATGGGAGACCTGGAGGAAGCTCCTGGCTCCTGGCTTCAGATTGGCAGAGCTCCGGCCATTGTGGCCAATTGGGGAGTGAACCAGCAGATGGAAGACTTCTCTCTCTCTCTCTCTCTCTCTCTGCCTCTCCTTTCTCTCTGTGTAACTCTGACTTTCAAATAAATTAATAAATAAATAAACCTTTAAAATAAAATAAAATAAAATAAAATAAAGTGTCCCTTATTCTTTCCCCAAAGGACTTTATTAGAAAGCTGAGCACCAATAACAATGAGAGCACACAGAATAACAGTATGAAAAAACATGCAGTCTTCTCTGGGACACTGTCTGACTGGTTTTATTTTTTGTCTAGGTCCAACTTGAGATCCTGATTTAACCAGGCTAAGAGAGGACCCAGGAAACATGATTTAAAATAAAAGAGTTATTGGCCGGCGCTGCGGCTCACTAGGCTAATCCTCCGCCTTGCGGCGCCGGCACACCGGGTTCTAGTCCCGGTTGGGACGCCGGATTCTGTCCCGGTTGCCCCTCTTCCAGGCCTGCTCTCTGCTGTGGCCAGGGAGTGCAGTGGAGGATGGCCCAAGTGGTTGGGCCCTGCACCCCATGGGAGACCAGGAGAAGCACCTGGCTCCTGCCGTCGGATCAGCGCGGTGCGCCGGCCACAGCGCGCCGGCCATGGCGGCCATTGGAGGGTGAACCAACGGCAAAAGGAAGACCTTTCTCTCTGTCTCTCTGTCTCTCTCTCTGTGTCCACTCTGCCTGTCAAAAAAAAAAAAAAAAAAAGAGTTATTTAATTGAATGTCAGAATTACAGAGAAAGAGGGAGATAGAAACAGAGGTCTTCTATTTGCTGGTTCACTTCCCAAACGGCTGTAATGCTCACTCCAGGAGTGAGCCAGGCAGAAGCCAGGAGCTTCACTGGGGTCTTTCCACATGGGTGGAAGGGGCCCAAGTATTTGAGCCCTGTTCTGCTGCTTTCTCCAGGCCAACAGCAGGAAGCCAGATCAGCAGTGGAACAGCCAGGACATGAACCAGCACCCATATGGGATGTCAGTATCCCAGCATTGCAGTGGGCAGCTTTACTCACTACACAGTGCTGGCCCCAGAATCATGATTTTCTGAAAGCTACCAGGGGTTAAGGGCCAAGACAACTCACAGGAATGCTAGATATAATATTTGTCACAAAAACCCAAAGAAGTATTAATTAATTCTCTTAAATATCCAAGTAACCGTCTTCTTGGAGAAGTATCTGTTCCTCTCTGGCCTCTTTTTAGGAGGTAGCCTGTAGCAAGAGGTTACCACCTTACCAAGATCAGGGACATTGTTCAATGCATTAAGTACGAGGGAGTAGACTAAGGGTTAATCAATCCTACTTCTGCTGTTCACAAAATGGAAAGTGATGGTGTGAACAGTTAATTTCCATCCAGACCAGTCAGACATGATTAGAAATCAGACCATTAGGCTACATTCTTAGTAGCTCACAGAGTTCTCTGAAATAGTCCACTAAACAAATAGAAGAGGTTTTTCAGTGGGTTTTAAAAATAAGGGGATATCTAAGTCAGCATACTGACACATAGAGGTGAGAAAGGTAAATTCTTTTTCACTTACCTAACACTTCACCTTTAAAACACCTAACAGATATCTAATTAATGCAGCTGTACTGTTAAATAATTTTGTCACTCCTACAGAGACAGAAGTAATCCTATTAAAGCACAACAGAACTTCAAGGAGCTCTTGGGCTTTTACCTTTTTATTCTATAGGCAGTAATAAGCACCAGCAGCCAAAAATCCTTTCTCTGGCAATCCTAGGAGACTGTCCTACATTTTTATCCTTCCTTATCAATTCTGTAGCCATAATCTCCTTTGGATCCAATCCCTTATATAAGGATACATTGCAATAGGAGAAGCCTCAGTTTCCAAGAATCTCTAATGCTCAGGTCTGTTCCTCCTTGTATCTGTGAGCAGGACAGTCACAAAATAGAATATGTCCAGTTCTTTTAGCTGGCATATTTAGAATAAAGCCCAAGAACAACTGCCTGGTGCCCTCACAAAGGCCACACATCTACAGACTAATTTTTAGCAATATGCAACTTAAGGGTGCCAACAGCTGGTGAAATTGCTCTGCAGCTGAAAGCTGAGAAGCCTCTCCATTTTAGTATCCTCATTTACATCTAAAGCATTTATTTTTGTCACTGTTAACAAGGTAGCTTGTTGAAAGCACACACCGTGTGACTGTGACTCCGCACATGTTACTGACATATGTTGAAACTTAAAATGGGAAATCGGGTTATCAGGTTTTTTTTTTTGGGGGGGGGGGTAGTTTTTGGTCTTCAGGTGGCAAAGCACATTAAGCCCACCTTTGGGACCCCAGCACGTCATATCAGAGTGCCAAGAATTGAGTCCTGGCCCACCCTACCGCCACCCTTGCTGCTTCCAATCCAGCCTCCTGTTAATGTAAACCCTGGGAGGCAGCAGATAACGGCTGCCACCCACACGGGAGACCCAGCTGGCGCTCTCTGCTTCTGGCTTGGGCCTGGCTCAGTCCTAGCTGTTGCTGGCATTTGGGGAGTGAACCAGCACATGAAAAATCTCTATTTTGTTGCTGCCTTTCAAATAAATAAGATTAAAATAAATATTTTTAAAAGAGGTAACACATGAAAAGTATTCTTTGAATATCGATAGAATAATTCCCATGTGAACCAAGTTTTGCTGTATTCAATATCCACTTACATTCCTGAGTTCATATTGGATAGTATGTGAGAAAATGGAAGGGGAAGGGCATCGGCAGAGCATTTAAAGCGAAGATCTTGCCAACAGACAACATGTGCTGGACGTTTTCTAAAATTAGGGGGAGAAGCGTTCGCGATTCCTCCCACCCTGATGGGCACTAGCGAGCTCTCCAATTCGAGAACAGCGTTAAACGGCAGCCGTTCTTCCACGGTGCTCCCCATTAAAGCCGTAAGGCAGCCACACCTCAAAATTCCTAGAACCATTTCACTCAAGGCAATGTGGGTTCCCGGACACGTCACGTAAGGATGCCCCTGCGGGAAGAGGCAGGAACCACAGGAAGGGCTGAGACTGGCTTCTGGGCATCTCTTTGGGACGCTCGCCGCCCCGAAAGCCCAAAGCTTCCGATTGGGATCACCTGGGGACTCGGCTTCCTTGTGAACCGTTTCCAGCGACTCAGTCCCATCCTCTTCTTTGAGGAGGGCCTTTCCTGGGGCGCCAGCAACATTTTCCTGGTTCAGGCCCGGATCTCGACCAAAGCTGTACCAACAGCTCCTCTGCCCAGGCTGTTTCCGGGTCGCACTGGGAGTTGTAGTTCCTGCAACCAGCAAGGACAGTCGGCGTCGGCCGTCGCCGAACCACTACTCCCAGGAAGCTTTGCGCAGGCGAAGCTCAGTTACCACGGCAACGGCAGCGGTCCTTAGGACTTTCCTTCATGTCGCTTTTGCTTCTTTCTGGCTCCTGGTGATGACGCAACGCTCCTTGATTGGTTCTGCGTCGGAGGCGGTGGTTTAGGGGTCCGAGAATTCTGCTAGCGGGACACGTGGTAGTGAACTGTGAGGAGTTGAGGGATCTTAAAGGCCAAAAGAGTTGGGAGATTGCAGGTAAGTGCCCTCTCTCCCTGCTGGTGCGGGAGCGGCGAGACGTGAGTGAGTCGCGTGGCGTTCAAGTGCTTCCTGGTTGTGCTGCAGTAACTTGCTGTATCCCCGCCATGTCTCCCATCCTTTGAGTCTCTTGGTGGATCTTGCTTTCTGTGAATTCAGATTCTCTCAAATCACGTCAGCGGTGCCGACATCTTTGGAAGAAAAGGGCGCCTTTTCGCCTGCCCGCTGGTCAAGAGTCAAGTTCCTAGCCGGAACTTTTTCTGAACCTCGCAGAGCCCTGAGGGATTAGGGGATGGGGCGATCAGCTAGGCACTGCCCGAGGTCTGGAGTCCCCAGGAGGTGGCCCATGGGTAATACCCACATTATTGGAGTATTGTTATGATTAAAAGCCAGCGTATATAAGGCATTTTTGCGCGGCAATGTAAACGGAAGTTGACTTGAAATAGGTGAAAATGAGGGCAGGAAAGCCAAGCCTTCAGGCTGTTGTTGTCTGGGACCTGCAATGTAAGTTGTCCATCACAAAGGGAATGGCAGAGTAAGTTATGTTACATCTAAACTTCATGGTTGAATCCCAAGTTCTTTTAAAAACTCTATGTCTCTAATTTGGTAAAGATATCTATTCTGTATTCCTGGGGGAGGGAGAAGCAATATATATAGTATGTTTCCATGTTTGTAAAAGCAAACCCTGACTAAAAATACCTCCTCCCACATACAAGTTTGTTTAAGGGTTGTTTGAGTCTGGAGAAAGGTAGAAGAGGGGAGGATGGATTAGAGGCAAAGAAGGTAGAAGGAAATAAAAAGAAAAACACTGCAGTAAAATGGAAAAAAGACTAGAAGTTATTACCTCAATATTATGATTCATATGTAGACATGCATGGCATGTGCTTATGGCCAAGATTGATGGGCTTATTAAAATACAGCCTCTGAAAATAGGCTTCTAAAATTTAAGTTCTAGCTCAGCCACTTGCCAGCTGTTGATTTTATTAGCCCCAATTTTCTAACCTATAAAATGGAGATAATCATAGCATTTATATTATACTCTTTCTATAAGGTATAATGGAATTAATATGTTAAAAAAAGTACTGGATACATATTAAATACCCAATAAATATTAGTTGCTTCTGTTATTAGGCTTTTCAATAGGTGAAATTAACTTTTATTGTGACTGACATTTGGACTCCTACAATCTTTGTATTTTCTATTTTTCATGTGCTTTTTTGGTCTTTCTTACATTTTGTTGGATTATTCAATTTTTCTTTTTTTTCAAAGACTGACTTGATGCTAGTTTTGAGAAAACATAGTAACTTGCAAACCATTAATGGTACAGTTTTCTTTTCCCCCTAGGATTTTTTTTTTTTTTTTTTTTTGAAAGGTTGAGTGACAGAAAGAGAGGGAGAACAAAGAGAAAGATCTTCCACCCATTGGTTCATGCACCAAATAGCTGCAACAGCCAGGTCTGGACCAGGCTGAAGTAAGGAGCCAGGAATTCCATCTGTGTCTCTCACGTGGGTGGCAGGAGCCCACATACTTGGGCCATCCTCTACTATATTCCCAGGTGCATTAACAGGAAGCTGGATAAGAAACAGCAGCCAGGACCTGAACTCATCATGATATGGGATACTGGCACCACAAGCAGCAGCTTAACCTACTGTGCGAAGTGCTAGACCCTCAATTTTTCTTTACCTCCTCCTTCCCTCTCCATGGGCTTGTAAATTATGAATCGTATCATTAATCTTTCAATGGTTGCTTCTAGAATTTTAATTACACATATATGACAAAGGTTAACATTATTCAGTACTTCTTTCCCCCAAATAGTGTAAGGATTTTAGAATATTATACCACCAACTAATCTCCTTCATCTTTAAAATTTTAGTATTCATCATTCCTGTGTCATTTCTGAGTCAACTTAGTGCACCACATTGTTTTAGAAGTGCTGCTGTTGAGGCTGGCGCTGTGGTACAGCGGATTAAAACCCCAGTCTGTGGCACCAGCATACCATATGGGTGCCAATCCAAGTCCAAGCTGTTCCATTTCTGATCCAGCTCTCTGCAATGGCCTGGGAAAGCAAGTCCTTGGGCCCCTGCACCTGCGTGGGAGACCTGGAAGAAGCTCCTGGCTCCTGGCTCCTGGCTTTGGATTGGCTCAGCTCCAGCAGTTGCAGCCATTTGGGGAGTGAACCAGCAGATGGAAGACCTCTCTCTCCCTGGCTCTACCTCTCTCTGTAACTCTGTCTTTCAAAAAAATAAAATAAATCTTAAAAAAAAAAATAGACAAGGGGGAAGGAAGCCAAAAAAACCAGAAAAACAGAAGTGCTGCTGGCTTGTTTCATGGCAAATACAGTAATTGTTGTGTCTATGTGGGGAAGAGGAAGAGAGATGTGAATGTGTATTTATAAATGTATGGGCTTTTCCTTTCATAAAGAATGTGATCACTTAAGCTAGCCTTTTTCCCTGAGCACTTTCTGGACATCTTTCCATTCCATTAGGTAGCAAATCCATCTAAGAAACATTTAAAAATGCCTTGTCTCCTCTTACATAAGAGGTAGAGAATGATGGCTGCTAGAGGTGTTCCGACCAGTGCAGTATGGCCAGAGGTATGGGGAATCTTTGTTATTCCTTGCAAAAGTATAAGTCCACTGAGAGCCTGTGATTTATACTGTTAAGCTTTCCCTTAAGTCTTTTCCAGGAAATCCGTCTGTAGATGTGAACTGTGAATTTTTGTACATTTAGAAAGCCACACCAGAAACAGAAGGCACCATCAAAACAGGTGAAATCGGAAGGGTGATGATAAAGGCAAATAAAAATGAGTTGATATTTTGGATATTGCCTTTCATGAACTTTGCTTGGTTTAGTATCATTCCCAAAGCATGTTTTCAAAAATATATATGTGATTGTGTATTTGCATATATTATATACATTGCTTCATAATAAAAAAAACCTTGTATCATATTTGAGTCCCTAGAAAAAAATGCAATTATAAAAACATTTACTGTAACCTGAACAACAAATGAGGAAAGGGGAGCTTGATTCTTCTTCGAGCAGAATTCCATTTTATATTTTTAAATGCTGATTTCCAGGTGAAGTGCATTCTCTGGTGCTTTCCTCAGATTTCCTTTTTTTTTTTTTTTTTTTTAACCTTTTATTTATTTGAGAGGTAGAGTTATAGACAGTGAAGGGGAGAGACAGAGAGAAAGGTCTTCCTTCCATTGGTTTACTCCCTAAACGGCTGCAACGGCTGGAGCTGCGCCCATCTGAAGCCAGGAGCCAGGAGCTTTTCCCAGGCCATAGCAGAGAGCTGGATTGGAAGAGGAGCAGCCGGGACTAGAACCGGTGCCCATATGGGATGCCAGCGCTGCAGGCAGAGGATTAACCTGCGCCACAGCGCTGGCCCCTCCTAAGATTTCTTAATATTTGCATGCATCCTCCAATAGTGATTTATTTATTAATAATTCTTTTTCATAAACTCAGTCGTCAGATTTTGCTGGCTTATTTTTAACTTTTAATTTTTAACATCTCAGATTACTGTGATTGGGATAGGGACTTTTAAGAAGCCCCAAACGGCAAATGTGAGTTATAGCTTCAAAGTCTTACACTGTGGAGAGAGCCAAGAGAGTATTTCTCTCCAGCTGATGTAGTGGTTTCAGCATGCTAAGCTGAGAATTTTGGATTTCATCTCTAAAGTTGTGGCATTAAACTTTGGAGATGGAGACAAGAGTTCCCAGGAGAACCCAGTTCTGCATCTAAGGCCCTGGCAGATGCTGTCCTCTCAACCTACCAAGTACCTATAAAGACAGACCTTGGGTAAGAATGAAGAAAACCACTCAGCTGAAGAGAGAGTAGGAAGGGGAATTGTGAGAAATAGTTGCACAACTGAGTGAATGATTAGTCACACTTAAGGCTCTGTTGTTGAAAATGGGGAATCTCAGACATGTTCAATCTTTCTCACACAAAGAAAGGTTCACATTTCTGTCTTCCTTAGAGAAAGGTAAGTTTTGGAAGCCAAGAGTCTGAACTTCTAGGTCTAGCTGCCTCTCTGTGTTTAGAGTATCCTTGTGTCCAACCTTGGTGAACCCAAGAGTGGTTTTTTGTTGTTGTTGTTTTGTTTTGTTTTGTTTTGTTTTTTGACAGGCAGAGTGGACAGTGAGAGAGAGAGACAGAAAGAAAGCTCTTCCTTTTGCCGTTGGTTCAACCCCCAATGGCCAGCGCGGCCAGCGCGCTGCAGCCAGCACACCGCGCTGATCCGATGGCAGAAGCCGGGTACTTCTCCTGGTCTCCCATGGGGTGCAGGGCCCAAGCACTTGGGCCATCCTCCACTGCACTCCCGGGCCACAGCAGAGAGCTGGCCTGGAAGAGGGGCAACCGGGACAGAATCTGGCGCCCCGACCGGGACTAGAACCTGGTGTGCCGGCGCCGCAAGGCGGAGGATAAGCCTAGTGAGCCACAGCGTCAGCCCTGGGATTTTTTTTTTTTAAAGATTTATTTATTTGAAAGTCAGAGTTACACAGAGAGAAAGAGAGGAGAGGCAGAGAAAGAGAGAGAGAGACCTTCCATCCGATGGTTCACTCCCCAGTTGGCCGCAATGGCTGGAACTGCGCTGGTCCGAAGCCAGGAGCCAGGAGCTTCTTCCCAGTCTCCCACATGGTTGCAGGGGCCCAAGGACTTGGGCCATCTTTTATTGCTTTCCCAGGCCATAGCAGAGCTGGATGGGAAGTGGAGCAGCCGGGGCTTGAACCGGTGCCCATATGGGATGCTGGCATTTCAGCATCCCGG